CACGTGGAATAATGTATCATCTGTGTTGCTATGATTTGCAAGCTAGTTGAGTTTGTTGGGATTATACTTCTACTACTGATCGGTCAAATAACAAAACTTTAAGAATTTCTGTTCTACTGGCTTTCGATTTCAGTAAACTGTATTAATTTAGAAACTTTTAAATTTTAACTTTTGCTTTTTTTATTCTGACAGGTTTTCCAGTAGGGCTGATTAGTGAATAAAATAATTGGATAACAGAGGTATTTTTGTGTACATGCGAAATGACTGATGATAATTCTTATTATTTATGTTAATTCTTATTTATGTTGCTACGAAGTTTATATAATCATTTTCTTCATTTTGAACTCTTTTAGCACGTGTTCTATTCACCTATTCGCCAAAACATGAAGATGAGCTTGCGCTTCGTGAAGTAGGCCAAATAGTTGAAATTGTAAGCAAATCCAGTGAAGATCCTGGTTGGTTACTAGCTGAAGTCGATGGCAAACAAGGATTGATTCCAGATAATTTTGTTGAGATTTTAAGGCCTTCAGTTCCGATTAACACTACGAATCCAGAAACAAACAAGGTGCGTTTCCAGTTTTCACTTTTTTTGAGTGAATGAGGAAAACATGAGCAAGTGGGATGAATGATTCAAAAAATTTTTTTGATTTGAATTCAAATTAAGTCTTTTGAAAATTACAACCTGTCAAAATTTGATTATTAAAAATTCTAGCCTTCTTCCAACTTAAGATTTGAAAAAGAAGTGATATGATGTTAAATAAGTGGACAAAATTCAGATGCCTTTACCGCCAAATGTGCCCGCCAAACCAGTATCAAAGACAGTAACTCTGTCATCTGGTGTTGGTCGTCGTGCTACAACTTCTTCAATGTTCGCTCAAATGCATTCCAGTCTTGCTGATGCTTTCACGAAACCACCGAAACAGTTTACTGCTAGAGTATTTATTTTAATGAATTTTAATAGCATTTTGATGGCTCATTCAAACAAAAATCCTGGAGAGGTTGAATTCAATGATTGTGGGATAAGAATAAAGAAACTTTTTTTTTTTCTGCTCGTGTAATACTCCCATGCTACTGTTTATAATTTGAGATACCTGTGTCTTTCGTACCTTAATATGTTATGAGTCTCTAAGGCAGTGATAACTTTTTCGGAACTTCTGCAAATCAATTTGATCGTAACATTAAAGCGGGTATCCTGCAACCGTTGGAACAGTTTATACAGTAAATAATGAAAGAAATTGTATGGAAGTTCAATTTTTTAGACTCCAAAAACGGGAGAGGGCTTGACTGATGAAGGACAACCAGGTGATCGTTTATCTCACATAACCGCAACTCGACCTAAACAACCGAATAAAAGACCTCCGTCCACTGTTTTCAGAACGGTTAGGAATTAATTTTTGTTTTTTGAATTGTGCTAACACAGTAAAGTACTGTTTTTTTTCTGTATTCGACTTTTTTTTTTTAAGTTTATTGTTCGTGAATTCAGGATTTCTTATTCTGAATGATCCTGAATAAATTTTTGTGCTGAATGAATTTTGTCACTTTCTTCCCTTACTCACTGATATTTATATTTTTCTTCGAGTGACATGCTTCAACTTCATTATTAAAATTTGCCTATTTAGACGTGAAAGTTGAGTCATCCTGTTTTCACATATCGTGTTCTTCGCATATATATATATATACATCATTAAAATTTTTGAAATTTGTGAATATAAATCAGTATCATTTTCTAGTTTATTTTAAAAAGTTCATTTCTAGTTAAAACATATCGAATTTCAGAAATCAAATGAAGCCTCAGCTAACGATGATATGTTGACGGCTGAATGTGGAAGAATTTCACCTGCAACATCGACAGCTACTTCTTTGTCTAGCAGTTACACACAACAACCTTTATCAATAGGTAATTCATCATTTTATCTGACTAAGATCCATATTACTTATTCTTTGTAGAAGGCTTTTTACGGATTTTGAAATTCGCAATAGTAATTTGCAATAGCTTAGTTTCATGGAGCGACAAAGCAAGTTAAAATAAATTTGCAAACTGTCAATAAGTTGAAACAAGAGAAGAAAAAGTGAAGCATCGTTTCATGACTTTATATTTTCCATAATATGAAGATGAGGATATTAGATTTTGGATTCTTGAAAATTATTTGTTTATATTTTTTATTTTCTTAAAAAATTATGAAAGTAATTCTTTTACTTGCAAAATATCTCCAATCAGCACTACAAACCTCATTGCTGTGAATTGTGTTTTAACATCGACCGATATTATAAGTATATTAAACTGTAAACTTTTCTAAACTCTTCTAAGGATCTATAGCGCATTTCTGGCAATCTTTAATTTTGAACACTCCAACCATATAATACATCCTTGCTTCAATCTAATGTCTTTCTGTATCTAATGCAATGTCTTTTTTTTTTGTATTGCAGCATCTTCTATAAAATCAATAAAAGTGCAGCAAGTATTATCACCGAGAAATAGTAGCAGTGATATTAATGATGAATTTGTGCCACGTAGTGAATATAATCGCTTGGTTCAACAATTTGAAGAATTACTCACAACAATGAATAAATTTCGTTTGGAAATGTGTCAAAAAGTGTCCATGCTGGAAGCTAAAATTGCCAAACAATGAAAGAGTGAGCATTTCATTTTGCTACATCTTCCTGCTTTTTAATGTATGCTTTAGTTTGAATTTTGGAACATTTCATATTTGTTTGATTAAAAATTTTTATATTTTTCAGATTAACTTTCATATTGCTACGGGCAGCCTTGGATAATCTTGGCATCCTGGATTTAACTAAAGTATACTACTTGGTTGATGCATAATTTAATCATATCTCTAAACGAATATAATAATTATATAGACCTCATATAAATAATCCTAAAATATCCTTCTTGCAAAATTTGATAAAACGCTAAAAGGTATTTTTTATTTTTTGTTCGTTTACATTTCTGAGATATTCCGTTGTTATCAAAAAGAACTTTTTGATAAGTTGAAAACATAATTAGTTTTTGTTTATTTTAAATAACATTTTATATGATTTTTTCAGGGAATACTTCCAGAATTTTCAATGCAATTTTCAGTTATGGATCTAAAATCTTTGTTTCGGATTTTCAAAATTGTAACGCCCTTGATACTAAAAATCTAAACGCTTAATGAAATTTCAATTGCCTGTTATGTCAATGTCAACCTAGATTTGGCTTGAAAAAATTAACTGGATTGCCACGTTGAGCGACCTGAAGCTATAGCTCATTCATATCGATCAGGCAAACCCTCAAAACTCTAATGCATTTCTTATAAATCTTAGTTATATTTGTGATTAGAATGGTTTGTGTAGCAGCACACTTGTCACGTGTCCTTGGAGCAAAAACAGGATGTTTTAAAATTTCATTCAGGACTTCTTTGAATTTCAATTTATGACATAAAATGCTCTCTTCCTTTCCAAATATTATTGCTTCATGTCGTTTTTGTAACTGATCTGCATTTCTATTCAATCGTGAACTTTCATGAATGTAAACGTATTGTTATTATTCATGCTCGTATGTTTTGCTTTAGAGATCTGTTTTAGAAATTGTGCATTTTTCTTTCCTTTTTTTTTTATTCTTCATTCCAAATTTAATTTTTATAAACTGCATTTAATTTTTGAGGTATTTTATTTTATTATGCGATATGCAATATGAATTTTGCAATAGTGATTTTCATCCATCTTTCATATTTATTTGTGTTGTATTTGTTAACTTTGTCACATTTTTTTCACAATCTTTACAGTTTTATCATAAGAAGAAATCTTTGTTTGCTTCCTTTTGAAATTTTGAATATAAGAAATTTTAATTGGAGAAAATGCTCTGTTTGAAATCTCAAATTTTGTTTAAGACTTCATTTGAATGGTCATTATTGTCGAAGAAAAAAGCTGGCTTGCATAGAAGATTCTGTTTCCCTTTGTGTAATGAAGTGATTGAAAGTTTCACTGAAAGTTATTCGTTGAATGGACGAAGAGAAATATTAGGAGGAATTGATGATACAAGTGGTTACTTATTTTCATTATGGATTTGTAAATTGACGAATTTTTGTATATTTTTATGTTTTCATTACATTTCTTTTTTTTGAAATTCATGCCAAATTGGGTTCTACTCTTATTTATATGCCAACTTTAACTGTATTCATGATTTCAAATTATTCATCTGGAACAAAAAAAAAAAAAAATGCATAGTTGTATGAAATTTCTATAATCATTTTAGCAAAAATAACATAAAATGAAGGAATGTCATGTATTTAAAAAAAAAAAAATTAAATACTCAATGATACATTTGTCGTTTTCTAACTATTGTTTCCTTAGAGAATATTTATTGAATTTTGAATCATAATTATGTTATTGGATATCATTGAATATCCTTTCATTTGTATATTTGTTTTTTCATATTTTAAAATGATATAGTACATATATTTGCTTGTAATTGAAATTTTGGGAAAAAGAAAAAGAAATAAATTTATCATGTGTATTTGATGCTGACAAATTGTCAAATCTATGTTTGGTTCAATTCACCAACACATCTACCAGCCTTTTTTTTTCTTTCATCTTCCAATTCACCAACCACTTTTCTTGTTCTTAATAATGAATTTTTTGAATATATATCCAAATAGAGATATCTGATTAACCAGAATATCTTGAATAAGACTTCGTTAATCTTGCATATTGCAAAATGTCCAGATTTTAATAATTGATAAGCTATGACTAAATTATCAAAAAAATATTTGGAGGTAATTTCTCTCTATCATATTCTGTTAGTGAGTATTTGAAGTGGTATACTAAGTAATCTTTTAAAAATTATAATAGAGTAATAGTTTATAATTGGACTAAAATGTCTATTTAATGTTGATAAAAGTAGTATTTCAAGAAGGCGTAATTTGTTTTTTTTTTTTTTCTTTTTCTCAGGTAAAACTTTCAGTTTGAGTATATTGTATATTGGATAGTGGAAATTTTGGTTTATTTTTATAACAGTTATGGTTGTTCATCACTGTAATTCGGATGCAGGATTTCATGAATTTTTGGCAAATGCTGGCGCAAAACCTGTTATTGTTGATTTTTATGCAATCTGGTTAATTAATAATGTTTTATTTTAAATTTCAGAACTGTTAATTTCATTTTTTTTTAATTTCTGTGTAGAAAAAATAATTGCAAAATTTCTTTTATTTTAATTTTAAAATTTTCAATGAGATGAGTTTTTTTTTTTTCCTCATTTTTCCAGTTGTTTTCATTTGGAAAAGGAAAATATTTTCCGATGATTGGTTTAGCTTTCTTTTTTTGTCTATTGATTAATTTAGTTCGTTTAGATTAAGTGTTAATATGAAATTATTACCGATTAATAATTTATATTATGTAAAGGTGTGGACCATGTCGACGAATAGCACCAATATTTGAGCAACTTTCCAATCAATATTTAAATGTTGCATTTCTTAAAGTTGACGTTGATAAGGCAAAAGATCTATCGACACTTCAGGGAGTTACTGCAATGCCTACATTCATTGTATACATGAATAGGTACTATAATTATTTTTAAGATTTAACTTTTTTAATTTAATAGCAAATTCTATGCAAAAACATAAATAATCAAGTGACAAGTATTGAAGTAAAAAAAATATATGTATATTGATAAAAATAATAGTTTCAAAATTTTGTTATCAACATAAATGATGAAGAAACTAGTTTTTTCTTTTTAATCATATATAGTTTTTCTTTTCAAAAAAAGAGAAGAAAGAAGAAAAATTTGAATATAGGGTGAAAGTTGATCTTTTGCGCGGTGGTGATCCAAATGCATTAGAAGCATTGGTAAAAAAATGGTCCGATAATGCACCAAAAGAGGATAGTTTGGTCGTGGGACAAACTGATCTCATAACATTTGTTGATAAAACACAAGTGGAATGCTTAAATGAAGATGATAATGCAACATTAAGGTTTGTCATATTGTAAAAAAATAAGCATTTCAATTTTTATGAATATTAAGTTTTTGAATTTAATTTAATTTTATATTTATCTCTTTTATATCTTCTAATAAATATAAGTAAAAATCTTAAATTGTAATCTTCGTCATCTATTGCGAAATGAAGATTATCATTTGGTCAAATATTGATATATTAGTAAACTCATAAGCTATCTTATTTCATATTTCAATAAATTTTTAGTGAGAAATTTTGCATTTTTTATGTAGTAATAATATGTATGAAGTTTTGCACATTATTAAATGCAACTATTAAGAGAAATGCGAAACACTTATAGTAAGACATTTTTGTTTCTTGATGACAGTTTGCATATTTCAGGAGTCTACTTAATGGTAAAGGTGTGCTTACATCTGATTGCGATCCTCAGCTTATCATATCAATTCCATTTAATCAGCCAGTAAAAATTCATTCCATTTATTTGAAAGGTAGTGGTCCATCAGCACCAAAAACAGTTAAAATTTTTACAAACCTTGCAAGTATCCTTGATTTTGATCGAGCAGCAGGTGCTGAAAGTGTGCAAACGATCTCCTTTTCCGAAAAGGTATTTATATTTCATGAATATCTTATTATCAACTATTGCATTATCAGCTAACAAACTATCTCTTGCTATAATCGATAGATGGATGAATGAAAATCTTTTGTAAAATTTAAAGTCGAAAATAAATGTTATAAATATGTGCTATGTGAAATAAAGATCTAAATTTTTTTCTATTTGGGCAACTTTATGAATGATTATATTAGAAGAAAAGTAATTGTTCAAAATATCTCGATGAAGTTGAATTTTTAGGCCGTCGAAGGAGAGTTATGTAATCTGCGTTACGTGAAATTTCAAAGCGTGAAAAATATACAGTTATTTGTGGAAGATAATCAAGGCGGAACTGAAAATACAACAATTGAAGCTCTTCGCTTTTATGGAACACCACTTTCTGCAACAAACATGCAGGATTTTAAACGAGTTAGTTTATTATATATTAAATTTTGATCTCACTAATTTCAATATAATAACTAGAAATTCTTAAAATTCTAATCTGAATTAACTATTTCAGATTTTTTTTAAATCAATATAATATGTCTACTGAGTTACAGTTACGTCTATGGTATATATACATTACTATCTTAATATTTTCTTTTTTTCTGTTCAGGTTTCTGGCAAAGTTGGTGAAGTGGGACACTGACAAATGACACAAACTTCAGCGTAGCAAAACTTTCACTCTTCTGGCCTAATTGAACGAAATGACACGTTCATATGTGCATGCTTCATATTACGTTCTCTTCGTGAGACTATTCGTTTGTATCTTTGAATAAATTAATTGCTTATTGTTATTGTTTTCTTTTCTTTGACTATTAACCACATTTAGTGTTTATCGCTTTTGCAATATTCCTTTCTTAACAAGAACACTGTTGAAACTTGTTAAAGAATTGTTTATTTTAACTTATTTGTTATTGTATTAATAATTCTGCTGATTGCCTAATTGATTTTCTAAATTAAATTTGAGTTGACTCTAAACTCAGATGATGTCTACCTCCACAAGATTATTTAAAATTCTTCCGCCGAAACAAGCCAAAATTAACATGGCTATTTCTTGCATAAAGCCACAGTGAAAAGCTTAAAAGCAATCAATTATTTGTGAATTATCGGAATAGTGTGAAGATCATGCAATAAATTTAGTAGCTAAAAGGATCGATGAAAATAATTCAATTGAAATTAAGAAGAGAGTGCTAGAAAATTGCTCAAGTTTTTAGATTAATTTAAGATTATATAGTGGCGCTTTTTATTATGCTTTATTAATTCTAGAAATTTAAATTATACATTTTACTAATGCTTGAGTAAATTAATTGAATCAAGGAAAGATTGATTGGGTTAGGAATAAAAAATCCAGAAAGAATAAACGAAAGATGAGAAGATGAGCCGAATTATTATGGGAGTATTTCTTAAATTGATATTTATGTGGTTTGCAGATCAAATTTGAATTCCTTATCCTAGAAACGTTATATGTTTAGAATTTTGGTTGAGAAGCACGAAAGTAGAGCAGAATGGATGTTGAACGTTTAATGCAAGATTTATCAATTGATCAGCTACAAAATATACATTCGAAACTTTGGTGAGAATTTCATGAAATATATCAAGCAAATAAGTTTTGCTTAATCTTCATATTACATAGTAATTTAAATTACAATACTTCATATTCTTTTAGGTATTTTCAGTTCTTACTTTCATTTTTCTTTTTCTAAAATTTAGCATAGAAGTGGAAGAGAAAAAAGAAGAAATGCGACAAATGGTTGGTCGTCGTTATCGTGATGTATTGGATGCATCCAGTTCAGTTCGTCATGTTATGCACATTGCTAATTCATTAGTGGAATGTGTTCATATTGTTCGTAACACAAACACTGATCTTTCATTTAACAACGAATATTCATTATCAAGCTCAAAACTTTGTCGAATATCAGCATTATCAAAGTTTTATTTGCTGGTAAAATATTTCTTTTCTTTAAGAAAAAGAAAAGATTTATATCTTTTCTTTTACTTTTACGTAGTTTTTTTTTTATTTATGCAATTCTATATTTTATATTCGTACTGAATAATTTTTATCGTAGCAATGAAAATAACATTGCATAATGAGCAATTGCTTAATACACTTCACGCATTAATATGAAATATGTATTATTTTAAATGTGACATTATAAAATCAAAAAAAAAAATTTTTTTTTTTTTTTTTTGTTTCTAGTATTTGATAAAACTGATAAATATTTTGAAAAGTTGTTATCAAATATGTAGATTCTAATAGTATAAAATTATTAGTTATTCAAATATTTCAGGTTATTCACATAAAATAATTTAGTAATTTAAATACATTTTTAGCATTTTATTTTTTGCACTTTGTTTTTTATTCTTAATTTTTTCATTTTTTTTTCTTCAGATCGGTGAAAATGATCCGTTATCAGATGCATTTATATTGGTGCTTACTGAAATGCTTCATCGTAATTTATCTACTGATGTTATTCAGTCAAAAAAATTTTCACGTTTGATTCATCATATATCACCGAAACTTATACGAATACGATTAAAGCTTGAAGATGAATTTATCAGTGGTTTAGGCAGTTTATCGACGACGAATGAGACCTTAAATCAATTAGCAGCAATTGCAATTCTCAAAAATTGTTCAAGCAAAGATTTATTGGATATTTTTATTGAGCAAAAAATGGTCAGTTATATTTTTTCTGCGTATATTTATCTGGTTAATTATCTTTTTCCATTCTTATTTGAATTTTACTAATTGGATGCAAACAATTCGTATAGTTTCATATAGTTGCATAATAGTAAAATGAGAAAAAAGAGGAATATTTTGTTTTGTAATATGTAATATATTATATGATGATTTATGAAAAAAAAAAAAAACTTTTTCGATTTATAATATATTCTTAAAGAAGAAAGTTTTTTGTAAATTTGAAAAAGAATCTTATATTTTCAAGTTTTCAAGTGTTTTGTTCACAAAAAAAAAAGAGTTGAAACATTCAACTTTTCATCCGAAATTTGTTATTTCAGATAACTATCAAGAAAGCATTGAACAACTCGTTATCATTGATTGATTTGGTATGGCAAGTTCGTCAAATGTTCGAATGTTTAAAAGATATTTTTGTTGATGGTCATTTAGCTATGGTATTACAAACAGTTTCCTCACCACTCTGGATCCCGAGTATGCATTGAGTTAAATTTGATTAATTCATTATAATTTTATATCACTTAAGAAAAATATTAATTTGAATTCACAGAAAATTTCTTGAATTTCCAATTAAAGTATAATTTTCTAATAATGTTTTTCAAATTTTTCAATGTTTAATATTTGGCTAAAATAGGAGGATCATCTCGAAATTTTTTCCAGCTTTTTTTTTTTTTATTTTTTAATTTTACTTTTTAAAATATCAATTCTTTTAGAAATATTGGAAAAAATGATGCGTGATGACGTACTTTATTTTGGGAAGTGTATTAAAGCAGAGATCACTGAAACAAATGATCATTGCAGGCGACTTATTCTGACTCCAATTGATGAGAATTTTTTGTTCACACATTGCAATTCGTTTTTGGATACGTAAGTAATATTGAGTTGAAATATTAATTTCTAGATTTTGGTAAAAGATTGCAGAATTTGAATTTTTGAACTGTTAGAAACTCTTTTCATTTCAATAATTCACAATGAAAGTTATTGTTCCATGAATTTTGTGACCTTTTTGAAAAAGAAAATGGATTAGCTAAAATTATATTATTTTCAGTATTTGTTCTGCTTCTCAAAATATTGTCAAGTTGAAATGTGATGTTATGGAGAGTACTTCTTCATTGATTGCTTTTATCAAGGTTCTTCTGGAAGCTTTTGCTGAGGTATGTTATCTTTTTCATTTTTTGTTCATTTTTTACGAAATGAATCTTTCTGAATGCTGAATTAGATTAGATTAGATCAATTAAATCAATGATTTATTTAAATTCTGATAATTTGGCTTCTGTAATAGTTGTTGCATTGTATATCTCCGATCAACAGTATCAATTCTTTCGACATAATAATCGGTGATTATATATATATAATATTTTTTAGAAATGGCCATTGGTTGGTGACAGTACAGCAGTATATCAGCGGTTTCTTGGAAATATGATTATTGAAAAATTTCAGGTTTGTTTGTTTTCATAAAAATATCAATAAAGTGAAAATATTATTGTTTTTTTCTCTTTTTTTTTTTTTTTTGTAGAGTTTGTTGAAAAATTTAATGACAGAATATTGAAGTAATGTAATCTTAGTGAGGTTTAAGATTTCAACGTGAAATAATTCAATATCTAAATAACGTTGATATTGAAAAGATACAAATTTTAAGCAGGAATAATTTGTAAATATATAGAGAGAAAGTTCTTATCTTTCCTAGTATTATTTTTTTAAGGAGTTAATCATCAATGAATTATCAGTATTGGAGCAAAATCTTTTAAATAAAATTCCCAATATTTCTTGTCATCCACCGGCTTTATTCAAGAAACGCTCTCCTAAACTTGATTCATTGCTTGCTGCTGGTGTTTCACAAGAATTGATAAGGTTGAATCTTTTTAGTCTTTTTTTTCATATAACATCAAATTTTAGCGAAGTTTCAAGACTAAATTATATTTCATTACATTTCAGTGTTATCAAAGAATTTAATGATGGTTTGCATTCTTTATTAAATTTTATCAACGAATATGAAATGATTGGTAAGGAGGAAACAGTAGGTCAGCTGCATGAGCAATTCTCTATTGCTGTCTTAGAAATGTTGAAGAGGTGAGGAACATAATTAATTCAAAAAATCGCTATTAAGAATAACAGTAAACTTTTTCGCGTTCGTAACAACAGACTTTAGCTTATTTTAGGAAAAAAAAAAATAAATAATAAAAGTGAAAGAATAAAAGTTTATATTATTTTATCCTTAATTAATAAATCCTCATTTCCTTTATTATATTTTGCATTTAATATAAAGCAAATTCTATAATTAATATTTTCATCCCATAGATTGTGTACTGTGGCAGAAGAATTTAATAGTTCGGATGACTATTCAAATGGTTCACATTCTGATCGTGCATTATGTATGGCTAGAGTTTATATTGCATTGATGCAATCTTGTAACTCATCTATTTCTCTTTCTATGTCAAAAAATATGGAACGTATAATAGAATGTGCGAAAATGTTATATGAAAGTGCTGAAAAATCACTTTGGTATGATTATGCTAACATTTAATTGTAATATAAATTTTAATTGTAAATGTATCAATTTAATTTTCTTCAAATTTTGTACATTTTAAAGTAGTTATATTAATTTTTTTTAACATATCTATTAATTTATACTTATTCTTAATTTTAATTTGAGTGATATTTTTGAAACGACAGTAATATCTGTATATTTACATAATGTTTTTATTGCATAAAGTATAGTTTATTAAAACGAAAAAAAAAAAGAAAGTATTAGTGATTTTAATATTGAATATACTGGAATTAATTAGTGAACTGTCAGTCGATTATATCCTTACTTTTATTTTAATTTTCAGAAAGAAAAAACGATTTGATTGAGAATAAAAATGCTATGACAATTTCCCTACCTTTTTCTTTTTTTTTTTTTTTGCAGTGCTTATCTGGATGTAATCATTGAAGATTGTGCTAAAGAGAAAGAAATACAAAAATTAGCCGAAGTATACGATGATCCATTCATTTTCATATCATATTTGCAGGTTTAATTAATTAATTATGTTTTCCTATATGCTTTCCTATATGATTTTGGCAATTTTTCATGTCTTTTTGATTTATTTTTATTAAAAAATTTTATTAAAAACTTTTTTATTGAAAAAAAAACTTTACATTTTCTATTACGTAAAGTTTATTTGCATACTTTGTTGAATATGAATTTATTGAATTTTTTTTTTCTTTTTTAATCGCACAGTTCATAATTAAATTTTCATGCATTGCCAGGAATTTGAAAAATTGGAATTACCAGAAGTTGGTATAGTGGAAATACCTGTACAAATTAGTCGAATTTTATACTCTTTTCTATATAGCTTATGTCAGAAGGTAATTCTGTCATATTATAAATTTGAAAAAAAAAATTGCTTTAATTCGATTTTTTTCTTTTTTTTTTTTTTGCTATTACTAATTATCGAGAGATTTATAAATGATTACTTTTAAGCTATCCTTCTATTCCTTATGTAATGCATTTTTTTTCTTTTATCTTTTAAAAATAAAATATCACATAGTGGTAAATTCAATAAATTAAAAAAAAAAGCAAATTCAATAAATTATACACTACCAAAGAAATAAGACTTTTATTTCAAATGAAAAAAAAAAAATTTAGACTTCAAATTTCAGATTTCCAATGATTCAGTTGGTTATTTATGTGCAAGAAATATTCGATCACATATTTCACAGCACCTTGAAAAGATACTTTTTTCGGTGTATTCTACTGTTGCACATTCTAGTGTAGAGCTATCATCTCGAATTGTTCTACAATATCTTTTTGATGTTCGTTTTTTGAATGTTATACTGCCAAATGGTGATATGCGTCCTCTAATTCCACTTTTAGAAGCAAAATTAGATCCGTTTGATTTAAGTCTTGTCTCTGGTCCACTTGGAAAGAATGCTCGAGTGGTAGCGCAGCGTCATTCGGTTCGTATTCTTTTTTTGATTTATTCTTTCTTATTTATACATTTTCAAAAGTATCCTTTTGATTTTTAAATTGATGTAACATAAAAATTAAACAAATTTTCACTTATGTAATTATATTAAATAGGATGAAATATATTACTATGAATCTCGATTAAGTCACAGTAATACTTGTTGCTATTCATATTTATTTGATGGCTTAAAGAAATAAGTTTGTAGTGGAATAGATTAATTAATAGTCAGGAGTAAAATTTCTTCTTTTCTTCGTAATTCCGTATAATGCAATTTATTATTCTATTATCAGATATTTGCAATCTATTTTTTTTTTTTTTTTTTTTTTCAGATTATTTTTGCACATTTGCTTTCGGATGTAATAATTAACAAAGAGCTTTCATTGAGTGCATCTTTCTCGGCTGTTGTTGATATTATACCTCGACTTAATGATACACCACGTCTTACACATATTCCACGTTTGACAAAAAATACGGTAAGTAATATTGAAAATCAGAGATTAACTAAAATCTTTTAAACACTCAAAACTATTGTATAAATATGATTTGTATATTGTTAGCATAATTATCTAAAAAAAAAAAAAAAAAAAAAAGATTTAAAATTTTCAATGTTTTCAATATTTTCAAAAATTTTTTTAGAAGCTCGATGATGTGCAATCCTCAGCTAGTATAGCGGTTGTAAGAAAAAAAGAATCAAAAACTCAACAGCAACAGCAATTAGGAAATATCAAAGCTACACCATCATTCTCATCATTTTATAAAATTTCTACAAGCTGGTTTGGGAACAATCAAAACTAACTGTAATGAATGTCCACATAGATTATAACTGTGATAATCAATTATTAATAAATAATTTATTCAATTATTAGTAAATAATTTATCAACTTTCTGAATTTCCTACAGAATTACAATAGATAATTTCTAGGAAACATGAATTTTCCTCTCGAAACTTCAAAACAAAATAATCTACTATTTTCATGTTTTTAAAAAATGCTTTCTATTCATTTTCATAATATGACAACACATTATGTATAAATCTAAATATAAAAAAAAAAAAAAAAAAATATTTGATCCCAAGCTCCAGTTCATGAACTGAACAAATCGTAACTCAAAACTCTCAAAACTCTACCCACTCAAAATAAAGACGAGAATTGTTTGCTTCCAATAAAAATTTGGCAATTTTGGATTGTCAATGATTGTTTTAAAGGAAAAAAGAATGAAAAATTCTCATAAAAGTCCATTTTATTTTTATATTTTTTAATATGATAATGAAAATAAAAATCCTTTACTATCGCATTCTAAAATGAGTGGGCATTTCTATATTTATATTTCATATATTTCCTTATTATCAATAACTTACTTGATAGTTGATATCGTTAAGTTAATAGAAATAATACTTAAAAGTATACGCGCGTCAACAAATAAAGTAATTAAATTTACTAACAATTTAGTAACAGAAATTTTCTGCTATTCAAAGTCATCAAGCTTACTTCTTATTTTGTTGATCAAATACGTTTTCTGCTATTTTATAAGTGTTAAACATCAGTATTAAACAATTTTTCTCAGTAATATTAAATGCTAATTTTAAGATGAAGAAAAGAAAAAATTAATATTAACATATCATCTTTCTTATATCATTCATTCAATTTGATATGTTCTATTATCCAAAATAATATTCGATGAGAAAAGCAAAAAGTATTTTTACAATAAATGAAAGAAAAGTATTTTAACAATAAATGAAAGAAAATATATGCTCTACGAAATGATAAATTGATAAGGATCAAGAAATAAAGCATCAAATACATCGTAAAATTGGTCACAATACATAATGAAACATATCATTAAATGCGTAATTTACTTGAACATAAGAACTGCTATTTTGCTTTCATCAGTTATACCTCTTCTCTCGACAAGTTTCAAGCGCAAATAACCATATAGAAGATCGGTAAGCAAAAAAATCTGCAAAGAAAATTGAATATAGAAATTAATGAAGAAAGTATACAACGTGTAGAATGAAAATGAATATTCAACTTACCTAAATGTAATATGTGAAATTTAAGAAGTGTTCCATTTGATGAATAATTCATAACAATAATAAGAATTGGAATGCCAAAAATGAAATGTGATAAAAGGAAAGATTAATCAATTACCTGGGCAACAGAATAAATTAAAGTAGCAGCAAAATAGAAATTTGCATTTCCTGAACCAGTAACAATCCACATTTGCCACATCACTGGTGCCAGAACGATTGTTACTAACAGTGCACCACCGGAAATCAATCCCCAACGGAAATCTTCATGAAATAAACGAAAAAGTAGGAATCGAAAAGAATTATTATTTTTCTGATTAAGTGTCAAGTAAAAAATTTTTAAATAAAATTCCTAATATTTTTTTTTTTTTTTAAAGCAATTTTCAATCATCGAAAACAAATGCTAAAATAATCTGCTCATAGAGTGAATAAGAATATAAAAGATTATAAAACGAACATTTTTTTAAATTTTCGAAAAGAGGTAATAAACTTAAATAAATCAAACAATCAGCCATGGATGGATACGATGTGAAGACGGAAATGAGAATCATTAGCTGCTGTAGAAGTAGAAAAGCATTGGATCTGAAATAGAAACGGTAATGAATGCATTCAGACTGAAAATATGAACCTGAAACTCAATCAGATATGATATATAGATAGTAAAAAGATTGCACTTCGTACTTTTAATTACATTTGAATTCTGCACCTTATATTAATAATTAAATGGGCAATTTAGATAAATTTAGACTTAGGATATAATAAATAGCAATATAAATAAGTAGGCAATTTAGATTATGAGGCAAAAATGGATGATAAATTTTATTGATTGCAATAAGAAGTGTCACCTTAATGTCAATGACAGAGGTACAAGATAAACAAGGATATTGATTTGAAATACCCAAAGAAAAAAACGTCGAAAATGGTTGAAAACTTCAATGAAAAAATACCAAAATATGCCAACATTTGGTGTCAAATCACGAACATCCAATCTGAAAAAATATCAAATATAAAAATAAAAAAGTTAAATTTAAATTATAATGAAGTATATTATGTAAGTTTACAACATACGTAAACAAATTCTCTTTCTTTTCTTTTTTTTTTTTTGCATATGTTTCAGTTTCATATTCTAGCTTCTCTCTTATAGCAACATTGAAAAAAAAAAAAAAGATGGAAGCAAAAAAACGGAAAAGAAGAAAACTAAAACTTACAAAAATTTATATGTTGAATCAATGTAATTCCAATTATTTCCATTCAGAAAATAATTAAAAAACAACAAAGCAGTAACTGTAATAATTGAAAATGCAATTATCATTATACGTTCTTTTAATGCTGAGAATTTCACCAATAAAGCACATATGTAAATAGCTGGATAGAGTGATAATTGCACAAGTACACTAAATAATATCGAGCTAAACAATACAGAACCTGGAATTCTTCAATTAAACATATTTTCTTCGTATAAATGAAAAGAAAAGAAAATTATAGATTTAAAATCCTCATAAAAACTTTCAAACTGTGTTCCATTCTTTCTCTCATCTTTGAGATATGTGATTTAATATTATAATATAATATTTTATAACGTTTAACTGATAGGTTTAAGTAGAAAAAAAAAAAAAAAAAAAAAAAAAGAAAAACTAGGCATTGGCACAGAAGGGAAATTTGTCAATAATCCTTGTTAACTTCTTTTTCTGCTGATAATACTAATGATAGAATCAATCCTCGAAAATATAGTAAAAAAAAAAAAAAAATTAACTCACCTTTTACAAATGCCAAAATAAAAAGAGCTGTAATAAGATTACAAACAACTGATAGACTAAAAATAGCACAGCTAGCAACAGCAATAGGATTAAGCATATAACTGAAAACTTATCAATTAAAAAAAGTGTTGGAAAAAGAACATAAATAAGAAATGTTTCACTTCCAAACTTATTTCGAAAGTTTTAATATAAAGTTTATATTAATTAAGAAAAAAGTTTATATTAATCAAAAAAAAAAAACATTTTTGCAGTTTTATTTTTGAATATAACCTTGTATTTCACTTACCATTTCGAAACCAAATTAGCAATTCGTTCGATATTTTCTACACTACTTCCATGATTTTTCAAATAAACTATTGCTATCATGCGTAAAATCTCACTCGTTACTACATCAAAGGACTGAAAACAAAACACTGGTCTCAATAAGCTTTCAAATCTAATTAGACACATTTATCTGTCAAGTTAAATTACTGATAAACACAATGATAATAAAATTACCACATAGAAATATTCCGTAACCTATTCAATGCATTATACTTTAAATGTTAATCGGAAATAGTTATTAATTTTGCAGTGATATTTTAATTTCATTAGAATAAAATAAACATTCATACCAAGAATATTATCAATAATAGATTGGGGTGATCAATTACTGCGGTGAATAAATACAGCAGTATCGGTTGCTACAAATAAAATGAACTGACAATCTTTACTTTTATAATAATTTCAACTTTTTTGTGTAAATAATATGTAGTAGTAAATGATTCATTTACTATTATTCACTTAATGTCAACAGTTATAAATTAAACACTATCTAACAAAAAAGTTAAATATACTATCAAAGTTCAACGATGTTCAATGAACTATAAGTTGAAATACGAATCATTGCTAACATAATTATGATTATGTATTATGATTATTCGGTTAAATGTGTAATGATTACAATAATCAATTCTATAAACTATTTTCGGAAGGTAAATGAACAACAAATAAACATCCAAAAAAAGAAAAGCTAAATGTAGATGAGACATTAATTAATTTGATTTGAGCATTTAAAACTTAGCGGGAAAAACAAAATCATTTATAATTTTAGAAACAATTTAAAATTATTATGAACATTATATATAATTTTTTGGTACATACTGATAAATAATTCATAAATGATAAACGCTTGATTTCTATCAATTAATTACAGAAATAATTAATATAAGCAAACATACACAATGTATCATATCACCATCATACGGAGAAACGCCATCTCTAAGCATATATACGCCATCAATGAGTCTTCGAAATGAATTTTGTGGTACACTTAATTCTGGACGCTTTTTCAGAAAATCGATGCAATAAATGTATGCGAGAATACGAAGAAACACTGCTAACATGCATATTCTATAAATAAACAATTAATTAATTGGACTTACTTGAAACAATGCTAATTTCAATTTCTTACTTGAAAACCTATTTAATGATTAGCTGGCTGATAAAGTACCTTCTAACCTTCTATCTTCCTGATAATATCAATTGATTATAATAAAAAATAACACAATCATATAATACTATTAATATTACTTAATTTAAGTAATATTTTACAATAACATATATGAAATATTAAGTAGTAATTATGAGCTGTTCAGAAAAGTCTGTAAGTTGGTAGGAAAAATTAATAAATTACTTTATGCTTCAAAAGTTATCTCAAAGTTTTTTAAGTTATTCAAAAATAATCAAATTTTAATCCACAATACTAGAATTTTTATCGTAAGAAGTGTAATAGCTAATGTGATCTTTAATAAATTACACTTTTAAATGATGTTGACAGTATTGAAATCTATACTAAAATTATATGCTAAAAATGATAAACGTCCAAGGATTAATGCTTAATACTATTAAACAATAAGAAAACTTACAATAATCTGTTAACAGCTAGACGATAGTTTGATAGGACTGCGTATTGTTTATTTACCATTTTTGACTAATAGCATTAAATCAACAGCAATTATTGTCATTAAAAATTTCACTGTTTTCCATATTTGAATATAAGCTTCCAGTATCAACTAAATCTGCAGGAAACGATTAACATTAACTTCTAATAATATCCCATAATTTTTGATAAATTTGAAGAAGTCATAAGTTTCATTCAATCTAACCAAATTTCCATCAATCAATGCCCATAAATTGCCCAATCGATTCTTATGTAAACGATCTTAATGATAAAAATAAAAAAAATGAACGAATGATAAAAAAATGAATAACCGATCTATGCCAATCACACTGATCTCTTGTTAACAACCTACAATTATCAATTACATCACATATCACATTGATAATTAACAATTTTGATTATATCAAATCACTTTCTCACTAATTTCAGATTTAGAAATGCATTTTCTTTTTTCAGATATTTTCTTTTTCAAATTTATTAGTGTAATTTTAAGATAATAAAATGTTTGGCTTAAATACTACCCACAATTTCTTGAGTATCTCATTAAAACAATTCAGATCATTTATTCGCGAAAAAAAAAAGGAAAAACAAAACGGTGAAACATTTAGAAATGTTTTGTTGAATAACAGTAAGCAACGAATGTTGATATATGAAAGTTAAAACAATGCCGTGAAGCAACAAATGAAACTATTCTTCACAACAAATTACTTTTGGAAAATACAAAATGATCCGTGACAGTGTACAGCACATATAATATGGGAATAGAATATGCAAATTAGAGTATCAACAAGCAAAATAAACAAGTATTGAGGGAAATTTTTATTTTCTACAAAAATAAAGAAAGGAATTATTCTTAGTTTTATTTTGTATCACAAGTAATTGCCACTAAAAAGTATTACATAAATGTATTAAATGGTAAAATTTGATTGCTTGATCATTTTTGGGCAATTACTGCAATTATTTATTTCATACTTTAACTCTCTGAATTAAAAATTCCAATCGCTGAAATTATTTTTACAAATTTGCATAATTAAACATGCATGGAAAATAGTAAGAATGATTCGAAATTGCATATGCACGAATGAACAGCTTAATTCCATGAGTATAATTCAAATGTTTGATCTTATTCACTTATCTAACCCATTATATCATCCTACAAATCATTTCGAACTTATTAAAATTTCTTGCTTAAGAAAATAGCTGCACATATTAATCCAGCAAAATACGTACTATCAAAAATGCTATTCTCTAGAAAAAATTCATCCATACATATTGCAAAATGGAAGACAACTTACAGTAGAGAGATTAAAGATAACTGTACCTCAACATATAGAAAAAATCTTTAATAGTATCGAGAGTACAGAAAACTCCAATAATTCTGATGACATTTATTTATCAGTTTTAATTATCCAGTTAAAGAATCTAAAACAAAGTATTTCACCAGGGCATTTTGAATCAATGTATAGATTTAGTAAATTAACATCTTGATAATCATTGAGAATATTTTTGAATACAAAATAAGAGGTATCAATTATATATTGAAGTATGTCATTACTTTAGCATTATAATTGAGAGAGAATATCTTCACGACGTCGTTTACGTTCCATTTCAAGTTCTTGAAAAAATTGATCAATATCTTCTTTCTTCACTTCTCTTCCTTCATCGGCTAATCGCTTCAAATGATTTCCTAATTTCCGCTTCATTTCTTCATACCCTACAAAATAAATTTCAGAAGTAGATAACAAACACCTTATAGCTAATGAACCGATCAATCATATCAACTTTTTTACCTTTAAAAAGGGTTATTGCTCCTTCACGACCAGCCACATCAATTAATGCATTTGTCATAACTCGATCATCATCCTTTGGTTTATCATTACTTTTATTACTGTGTGATTCAACAAATGTTTGCATACAATCTGTGAGATCAGTCAAAAACTGCAGATTATTATCTTCGTAAAAATTCTGAAAATGTTTGTGGTGAAAAACTCGAATTTCAAACTAACACAAACAAAAAATGGATTAAAATGGTCCAGAAATTTTGCTAATAATCAGTATGACATATCATCATTTATCATTTGATAAATGATATAATACAAGTTAATACATAATACAAGTTGTCACACTACATCTCAAGACGTTTAACATTACATTTCAAGATGCTGCAATATGCGCCCAGGATTAAGCAATCACAAAACTACATCTTATAAAATTTAAATTAATCAATAACAAACATTTGTAAACAGTTATTTCGAATATAAGGCAATTACTAGCTAATAAAAATCCTTTTTCATGCAAGAGTTGCCAGTTTTCCTTTCCAATAAATTTTTTGCGTCATATTTTTGAGTGAAAATTAACTTGTACAACTTACCGAACAAATTTTACATTGACATAAACGATTTCTCCATTTATAAGAGTTGAAAAACAGAGAACACGGTTGACTGTTTTCATCTGTTTTGGCATTTGCTTCAAGCCATTTCAGCTTACATAATTTATTATCTGCACAGACTTCTTTGTATGTTCCATCAGCGTAAAATAGCAGGAATGTAAAACGCGTGACACAATTTCGACAGATGACCTCCTCCACTTCGCTTGTATCAACACTGTCGGGTGTTTCCTCCAGATGCTACAAAAAATTGATATAATAATATATTCATTATGACGTCATTTAAAATTATAATTTCTTCAGTTGATTTCAGTTTTTTTTTCTGTTTATGGTTTTGTTTTGCTTTGTGGCAAAAAAAAAAAAAAAAAATGATATTAATTTATATATCTTATATACCAGATTTTTTCTTTTTATATGATGAATAATAGCAATAAATTTTTTGGAAGAAACCAGTGAAAATTTTACTACTTCTAAATTTTGTATCAGAAAGACGAGCATAATTTTACACCTGCAAATGAAACCAATCCTCGCATATTATGCATTGTAGCATTTCGCAATCGTCGTATTCTTCGCATGGATATGGTCTATTGCAAGTACAGTAGAGACCATCGAAATTATGATTGTACTGATTTCGCTCATTTAAAGGTTTCTTTTCCTGAAAAAGAATATGTAAAATTTCATCCATTATCAATAAAATATTTTTTAAACTTAGGATTTGACTTTAAAATGCAAAGAATTTTATCAAAAATCATGGAAATTTTGTGCAGAGAACAAGAAATAGAATTTTAATGAGAATAAAATTAACGGAAAATTTCTTCAAAACTCTAAATACCTGAAGAAACTTATTATTATTTTTTTTTTATATAATGTTAATGTTATGGACATTACTTTGTAAAGTGTGCAAGCATTTTTAAATTTAGAATTTCCACAATCGCAACAAAAGTTCCGCTTTGTGTACAACTCAACAAGTTCATGACCATCATGACAATTAACGCTACACGCATAGCAAAGTGCCGCAGGTCCTGTGGTACTTGTACAATCACGACAAGAGTACAATGGTTGTCGTGGTTTATATCCCTGTAACTCATCAAATTTCAAACATTTCAAACTAGCAAAATAATAACACGAACAAGTTTTTTTTTTTTTTTTTTTTGCTTATCTTACCAAATTTATAATCAGAAATCTGAATTGCTATGTAATAGCAGAAGTTATAAATTCAAAGAAATTCCATAATTATTAGTCATAACATGCTTCGACAAGAATTTTTATCCAATACGATATTTTAACACATATTTTTAACCACAATGCTTACGTAATGAAACCAATTTTCCCAATGTGTGCATCTGAAATTTCAACTTAATTTATGAATTATGAATTAAAAGATAACTTCCGGATATGTGCAAACATTAGCGTTAGCTCCTCCAAGTAGAGCCTCAGCTTCTGCTTCAAGTTCTTCATGTGCTTCGATAACTTCACTTAATGTCACCAATGGATCATCCGGTATTCTGAAGAATAATATATCAGATTAACAGATAACAATAATCATTTACGTCTATTTAAATTACTCCACAGCATAATTAAATGCTGCTAAGGATTAATTCCAGGCTTATCAATAGTTCTTATTGCTTCTCTGTGTTTATCTAAATTATTATTAAATAAAAATGACTTAAAGAAATCATTCTTTCACAAAATAATCTCAGCATTCTGTATCTTTTCATATTGCCTACTACTGTGATTATAACTGTCTAATTAATCATCTGACGAACACTTCAAACATTTATTAATGATTTGGGAAAGATATATATAGCAAATTCCATTTGTTCGGTCCTATAACTAGTCGGATCGCTCAATTGCTTAAACCGTAACAAGTAAAATCTCACTGGCTTCATTAATGCTTCTGGAAATATGTCTAGTTGGCCTTTAGTATCATTCAAAAACAAGATACTCTAGATCACATTGTTCCATACTTCAAAATCATTCTCCTATGAAAACAATTATGTAACTTTAACTACCAAAATACTGATACATTATTTTCACGAATTCAGTCTTACTCTACTCGTATCTTCATGTTTTCAGTAGCTTCCTCACCGATCGAATCAAACAATTATGTATGAAATGATATTCCATCCACTCAAGGATTTATACACTCTTTCAAAAAAATATCGAAATTTAGGCCTAAATTCCAACAGAAACCGAAAAAGGTAATGTCCAACTTATTTAATCTTCTGTTGAGTGATTTCCAAATTTGATTTTCGATCGATATTCGATTAAACCTGTTTCTAAATTTAAATGCTTGAAAACAGCTATGTCTGATGAGCTCCAATTTAGTTAATAGACTTACGCATAAAAATGTACTTTTTGGAATTTTTTGAATGACTTAATTAGTTATGCCCTTAAAAACCAAAAGTAATTCATACGCTGAATTCCTCGCAAAAAAAATTATGACCAAATGTAATACAAATGAATTTGAAACTGAAATTTAACTTAAAAAAGTAATTAAAAACAAAACTGAAACAACATACTCGGAGATATCCTCTTGTTCGGTGTCGTTTTGGTGATTTCCACTGTCATTTTCAACATTGTCAAGACCACTTATATCTTTTTCCATCACTCTAAAAATCAAACTCAAACTTAATTATTAGCAAGTAACTAAATAATGATTTCTCGTTCAAGTTGCCTTTTAACTCTCATTTTCTTCTGTAAAACTAAATTACATTCTTTAGCATATATTTTTTTCATCCATATACAGAATAAAATTAAAACAAAAAAATTTATTAACTTGAATTGAATTAAATTTTTCCTTTCCAAGCAATTAATTAAATATTAAACGATTTATAAACAATTAATTCAAGTACACAATTTAAGTATAATTTAAATTTAAATTAATAACCCCTCTTCAAACATACAAAATTCGATTTTAATTTAAAACTTAAATAATAATTCAGTCATTTCAAAATGGAAATGCCAATTATAATCATAACCATTAAATCATATTTAATTATTAGCGAAAATGAGAATTACTAACAAAGAAAAAAAATTCCCCCCTCCTCCCCCCCCAAAAAAAAATATCTTATAGCAATGGCCGAGCCATTTCATTAAAACCCAATCACGTAAATAGAGGCGAAGGCCAGAAGCGTTGAAATTCATGTACTGGTTATGGGTACGTGAAGATGAATGGATGGAACGGGTAAGTAAAAGATAGTAAGAACTGGACGGAGTAACTATATATCCGCTGGGTAACTATATATCCATTAGTAAGAGTTGGGTAACTGCAAATTGAGTAATGGTAATTAGATGTTAAGAGTTACTGTTAAGAATTACATTAGAGTTACTTTGTTTGACGGTAGAAATTAGATGGGTAATTGTAGAAGTTAAATGGTTAATATACGGTTACAAAATATATTTCTTTTCTATTGTTTATATTTTGCATATTTATTCATTTTCAAAGATTGTATCTAACAAAAGATGCAATTACAATGTCATATTTTTGCGATTATTTTTGAAAGTTACACTTTTTTTTAGCTGCGGAAAAAAATTGATAGTTATATTGGAATTGGATTTTTTTTTAAGTTAAGTAATTGAAGTTAATGTTAAAATTGATAAATTTTCTTTCATTTATAAAGTATATTACAAATAAATGATGCTATTAGAGAAATACTAGTTTGTATTATCGTTCTTTTTTTACCAACAAATTGAGAAGTTTTGATAGCTCTTTCAAATTCTTCATAAATCTTAATTCTTTTTGCCTATAATATTTTATTCATTTTAATGAGCGGACTTGATTTATTTCTAGCTGATTTATGATTTTTCAAGTTCTTTGAAGGCTGATTTAATGTCATCCAGTCATGAAAGAAAATATGTTTTGCTGAAATTTATTTTAAAAATGAATTACTATACAGAAGAGAAAGAAAGTTGATCATTTATTGTTATTTAATTATAGGCAACTTGCTTTATTTAAACTAAGCTTTTTTCAAAATCTTTTATAAACTTTGGTAATTTCATTTTAATTCGAAGTTTAAGTACAATTACTTCATGTGCTTTGTTGAGCTACATTTGCTTTTATATCATTTCATCATTTTACTTCAATGTATTAAATGGGATTTGTATTAAACTTTTTGTAAGTTTGAGAATTTTAAATCTTATTTTCAGAAGTATCATTGCATAATTTGAAAAAGCGGGTAGTTGGACAATGGCGTTAGCCATTTCTGTGTGATAAAATAGATGCATACGAACGGAATGGATGATAAGACACGATTTTGTGGTCTATCTTGGTGTGTGCGTGATACTTGCGGTTTAACGTGTGCTGTCTTCACGTGGTACGCATGATGAATGCATTTTGCATTAAATTATTAAAATTTATCTGTTTACCTCTCTATCTTTTCATCTTTTAGTTTTATGAAATTTCACTCTTTTTTCTTACTCTTTCCTCTTTAGCTTCAAGTATTTTCATAAACTTTTTATTCAGCATTTACAACTATTCTTTTTTCCATATGAATATATCTTCGTACTTCTGTAAGAGCATCGCTAACGAAATTTATTCTTTACAAAATGCCAACGCAACTTATTGTGTGGATAAATAGGATGATGGAATTTAGAAAAAGTGAAATTTTATGTAAGGAATATTTGTTAAAAGAGGAAAACATACAAATGAAGAGTGGTATAATATTTCGGTGCGAAAGTCTTCTATAATATTGAGTTAAAATCTATGAAAATATTGGAAAATAGCGAAAATAGTAATAAGAAACAATGGAAAAAAAAAAAGAAAAATAAATAAATTAGGAAATTTAAGAGAAAAAATTTGTATAATTTTTTAACGAATGATTAAATAGTGACAAAATTTCTTCATATATATTGGATAAAATTTGAAAATTTTTTTATGATATGATTATAGTAATTTATCTTTCTGATTCCTTTGTTCTTTCACATTTGCTCAATTCATTGTTTTTTTTTTTTTTTTTTTTTGAAAGATTTATGATTTTGTAATCGGAGAAGAGGAATTTATGAGCTAGAAGTTAAGGATTATTCATCTCTACATAATAATGCTCATATGTCATCTCAGAATCTAATATTCTTTTTTTATTTTTACAGGTTTCTCATTTTATATGGGGAGTTTTGCGTTTTGACAGTGATGATGGCATCTTGGTCCAAAAATGTCGTCCATCAAACATTTCATGCTATCATTTTTCATATTCTTATGTGCTTAGCATTCTCATCGCATATCAAAACGATGCTTACCGATCCCGGTGCTGTGCCAAAAGGTAATGCTACTGATGAATATATTCAACGATTACAATTCGCACGAAAAAGTGTCATCTACAAATGCTCGAAGTGGTCAGTTCCAGTTGAATAATTTAAAACACTTCTTTCTTTATAAATTTTCTACTTAGTCTACTTTTTCGGTGAGAACGGTCATTTTAGTTATTATTTATTTATTTCATTTAAATTATCTAATTTGCTTTATTTACGTGGCTTCTGTAAGATGATAGCTTCTTTGAGTTGCAGTCATATTGCGGAGAAAATCAAATATTTACAGTACTCTAAACCAACTGCGCTACTACATATTACTGTGACAAAAACAGTGAGACTTGAAATCTTCATTTATATTTCCATGAAGTAAGAATTGATAGTGATTTATAAAATTGTGTTTCTGAAAATTGAAAATTCAATAAGTGATTATTGCAGTAGCAGTGTAAAACCAGAGAGAGCGCATCACTGTAGTGTATGTGGAAGATGTGTTAGGCGAATGGATCATCATTGTCCATGGGTAAACAACTGTGTTGGTGAAGGAAATCAGAAGTATTTTGTGCTGTTCACGGTACTGATTTTATCTTAATAGTTAAAACTAGAAGAAAAAAAAAAAAAAAACAATCAAATTGATTTACAAACAGTTCGGAAAATTATGCTTCTACAAAGAATTTTTTTTTGGAACAGTCAGAAATTATATGGGATTAAGGTTTTTCATTATAGTTTTCATAATTTAATTTAATTCTTCCAAAATCTCCTTTCTTCCCTAGAACTCATTATTGATTTTTTTCCTTATTTCATTCTTCGTATACTCAAGTTAATAGTTCTTAAAACTTTTATACTTGTAATAATATTTTGAAAATTAAGCAGATAGTATGAGTTGATATATTACAAATGATATAAGTTGAAATAGATATGAAAAACTCAATTAATTACAGATGTATGTAGCGTTATTATCGACACATGCCGTGTACTGGGGAATATGGCAATTTGTTCTGTGTGTTAGCGGTGATTGGCAAAATTGTTCATTGTTTGGACCACCGGTTACAACAATTTTACTTGTGTTTTTATTATTTGAAGCTATTCTTTTTGCAATATTCACACTTATTATGTTCGGCACTCAACTTAGTTCGATATGCAACGATCAGACTAGCATTGAAGCGCTTAAAAATGAACAGTACAATTCTGGTATGTAGATCTGTTAAAATTTTTGAGAAGAAAATAAAAATTAGTAGATTTACTGAAAAACCAATGCTTCATTATCCAATATGTTGACAGTAATCTGATGCATCTGTTAAATACCATGCAAAATAATATAGTAATGGATATATTAACTTATTAGCAAAGTCATTTTTTAAAGTTGGGTATTTAACTACGTGGTTCTATGAAGCATAAAATTTTCAGGACCAGATGGTTGGAAAAATTTACAAATGATCTTTGGCGGTCCATTTTCGTTGCGATGGTTTAGTCCGTTTGCTGCTCCGTATGTTAGTAAGCTAACATTTGAATATTCCGTCTGATAAATGAAATTAGTTGTTTTATATTCCAAATATTTGTTTCCTGTTACATACTGCAAAGGTTTTGAATGAGATTTTCGAGAAACTTCGTGATTTCTACCCAACTTTGTTATGTTCATTTAAATTATCATTTAAAAAATATGCTTAAAAGAGCCATAATATATATAAGACTATGTTTTATTAGGTGCAATTTTTTATTCCCAGTCAGTTGTATAAATTATTTCCCGCTTTCTTGTAAATGCTTTTATGTTTTTCATTCATATTAACATTTTATTGCCGGTCTCTTCTCAATACGATAATCATTTTGATTGTTTTCTACTTTTCTTTTTAATTACTTTTTTCTTTTTTTTAATTTAGAAGCATTTTGTTTTTATGTTGATGCACATAAAAAGTCCTGTACAGTTTGAGTTTGATATTTGGGCCTAAATTATTTGTGTGATTTGTTTGCTTTATGGAATTTATGCATTCAATGTTATGAACCTTTCTCCTTTATTCTTGTTCCAAAGTTTATTTTCGTTGTGATTGTTGAAAGTGATGATTTAGGAGATATTAGTACTTTGAAAAACTAAAATTTCTTCATGTTCATCGCATTAACAGCTCAGTTTTTTATCATCAACATCGATGTGATAAGTCATTTTTCATTGATTTCCCTTTACTAAATGTAGAATAAGCATGTTTGATTTCTACATCATTTCATTGATGTTTTTGAAATGTGTATGAAATTTCTACAGCTTTAATACATCTGTTCAACTCTTCAGGCTATCAAAGTCGCTCACGAGTAAAATCCCAGTTTTTGTCTTCAATCTTCAATATAAATGGCAGTCTTTATTAAGTTTAAAAGGTCAATACTTGCTTGAAGTAGTAAATTCTTGTATATTTATTATTTTTAAAAATGTTTCGGTGCGTAATTCGGATTAAAAGTAGTATTTTATTGTGAATCCTTGACATGATTATTTTACACATTACAAACTGGATTATAAAAGTTCTTCAATTTAGATAAAGTTTAGTCAAAGATAGCTTCGATTCCTATTATTGCTTCTTTTTTTTTGTGTTTATGTGTGTGTGTGTGTGTGTGTGAGTTGTAACTGTATTACAAGCTTATAAATTTAGCTGTACGATGTAATCTTTGTTTTGTTTTGTTTTTTTAAGTTTCATGCAATTCACATGGTTTGTACGCAACAAATTTTCACAAATATTGTTGTTTGTTTTGAACTACTACTACTACTAATAATAATAATAATAATATATTGCTTAAAACTTTAGTAAAGTTTGGCTTATTTCAAAAATTTTTGTCAATTTCAAATGCTACAAATAAAGTATTTGGAGTGGAGTCGAAAGATTAAATATGTTGAATTGAACTTGGATAAGTAAAAAATGCTACATGAAATATTCGAATAAATGGAAAGTTAAATTTTGGAATTGTAATTGTTAGATTTGAAATTGTCAGATTTCCAATAGATTGCAAGATAATAAAGGAGTTCTAATATGCATAATTCTTTGGAATAACTTATAAAAGTTAATTTAATTATTCACTTGTTTTTTTGATCATATCTTTTAGTAATCATAAGAGAAATACAAAAAGTATAGACGAAATCAAAAATAAAATTACATATCATTACTATATGTTTACTATCATTTCTATCATTACTACCACTTTTTTTTAAAAAAAGATGAAATTTACTGACGAAATATTCAATTATTTTTTATCTATACCTTAGTGAATATCAAATGTTATCATTAGTGATAATATCAGTGTAATTAGAAATTCGTCATATATTTTCATGAATAGATATAGGAGAATTATTAAAATTAAATCTTACAGATATTTGTAACTGTGTCAAAATATCACTGAATGTTATAAATTTATCACTTATAATACATTGATTGATAATTATGCGCTTATTATCACAACCAATTGATAAGCCACCGGTTTTTGTGGAAAAAATTGTATCGAAATGGTGGAAAGTTTGTGTTATAAGTGAACTATTAGCTCTAATATATATATGTATTATCATACAACCGGAATACAATGAACATATGAAAGTTTCCGAAAATGCATTATTACCGGCACTTGTTACGGAACGATTCAGTTATTATCATCGAATTTCAGCTTTCTTAGACAAACTTCGTCCTGAACGGTATTCGTTTCATTTTTCTCTCTTTTTTTTTTTTTTTTGATATTAAATTATTTTATTTAATTCTACTTTTTTACATTATTTGTAAAATTTTATTTAATCATTTATTTCATTATAATATTATAAATGATAATTGTTTAATTGTTAATTACAAGAAGTTTTTTTTTTTTTGTTTTCTTTTTTTTTCATATGCTGATTAAAAATGTTTTTGATTAAGTTTTTAATTGTTGATATTATCGCTTAATGGAATTTATGTTGAAAATTTTTAAGTTGGGGATAAAAATTTAATAGAATTTTCTTTTTTTTTTTCCTTTTTATAGTAATATTTCCGATTATATTGAGAAACAACTTTTGGCTTATGGTATAATGACGCAAACAATGCGATTTACAGTAACTCTTCCAGGCTTTGTATGTTTTTTTTCTTCGCTTTATTTTTAAAAAATTGTTATTGTTTGATAGTAATTTGAAGATGAATAACCTAGTTGGAGTAAATTATGAGTTAAATCGAATAGACGAATTTTTTTTTTTTTTTTATTTTTAATTGTTACAATTAAAACGTATTTAGGGACGCAATAGTAACATATCATAGAGTCTGTTATTGTTTAAACCTTATTTTTCATTATTAATTTGACTTTAAAAAAATATAGTTTGAATGTTTTGAATAATTTTGTCCGAACAAGTTACAACTTATTTTTGTGTTCTGCGTTATTAAACGAAAATATTTTTACTTTCATAATTTTTCATACTTGAAGTTTTCTGTATGGATTAGCCGTTCTATATATCTATGAAATGAATAAATAAGCTTTTTGTTCGTTTTTAAATTAAAATTGCGTTTTTTTTTTCTTACTATTATTATATTAGCATTTCACTATTTCAGAATGAATCCGGAAAAAATGTTATAGGCGTTGTTCGTGCTAGCCGTTCATCATCAACGGAAGCAATAGTTGTAGCTGTGTCAATGACTGAAACAAATTTGGAAGCATTAGCTGTTATATTAGCTTTGGCAACTTATTGTCGAGGTGTTTTCTGTTTTTTTTTTTTTTTTTTTTTTTTTTTTCTTTCTTTCTGTTATCTTTATAAATTAGAATAGTTTTTTTTTTTTTTTTATTATTATTAATTTTGATAATGGTAAAATGAAGTGAAAATTTTAATTGTTTAAAGATTGGATGTTTGAAATCTGCTTAAATTTATATTTGATATTTTTACTTAAAATGCATTTTTCTTTTTTTCAGAGCAAATATATTGGGCTCGTGATATTCAATTTATTTTTGTTGATAAAGGCTTAATCGGTTTAACAGCATATTTAGCTCAATATCATCAGCATCATCATTCATTCTTGCAATCTGACAAATTAAATTTTCATAGCGGTGCGATTGTTGGTGCTTTTGCAGTGAAAGCTGATGGTTTATTGTTTGATACAGTAAATATTGAACATAATATGATTAATGGTTTATTACCAAATTTGGATTTAATTAATTTAATGGCAAAATTAGCTGATAAGTACGGTGTAATTCCGGAAGTTTTCAATCATGGTTATCAGGTATCATGGTGGAATTTAGCTGAAACAACAAGTAAAGCTATGCTTAGTCAGGTTTCTATCCTCAAATTTGTTTTAATTACATTTATTTTAAATTACATTTAATTGAATTTCATAATTGTTTATGAATAATTTTTATCACCCATCTTTACTTTAAATTGCTATAATTATAATGCGAAAGACTAAATTAATTTTCAAAATGAATGAAATATTTTAAAAAGGAAAAAAAAAGCATATCTGTTGACAGTTAAATATTTCAAAAGTTTAAAGTTTTTAGCTTAAACTATTTATGGTTTAAAATTGAATTTAAAGCATTTAAAAGTTTTTCCAGGCTTTCAATGAGAAAGAAGGATTGCATAGTATTTTTGGACCATATGGTATACAAGCAGTAACTATACATGTTAAAAGTGTTATGGAAGGACATGCATCATTAACAGATTTAGGTCGAATATGTGAAGGAGCATTAAGGTTTATCTTTTAATTTTCAATTTATTTTATCTTTTTTATTACTGTAATAATTTCGAAAGATTAATACTTTCAAGGTAAATGAATATTAAATATTAAAATAAAAAAAGAACATTTACGATCAAATAGTGATCGAACTATAAATTTATAGTTATTTTAATGGTATTAATAGCACTTATAATATTATAAAGTTAAATTTTCATAAAAATTTTCTCATAAAAAAATCATCGTTTTAGTAGACGTTGTATCTTTAACCAGTTTTAAAAATATATTTATTATTTATAATTATTTTTTGAAAATGTTAATTTTTTCCTCGTCTTGAATAACTTTATTATTTATAATTATTATTCAAACATGTTCTAGTTAGGTAATTAGCCAGTATAACTAATTAGATTTTAATTACATTATTGCTGTTTAAATTGCCAATTAAACTTAATTTTTTCTTTTTAAAATTTTGAATTTTTACAGATCACTGAATAATATCCTAGAGAAATTTCATCAATCATATTTTCTTTATATAATGACGGATATACGACATTTTCTTTCTGTTGCTTATTATATGCCAGCTCTTGGTCTTATCCTATTTCCACTATTAATACTGGTAAGCTTATTGTATTTTGTTAATGCATTTGTTTGAGCTTATCAAATCCTACATTTATGACTGTTTTTATGGTTCATCATTAAATTTTTTGAATAAAAAATTTTTATAGAATATTATAAAATTAAAGTTATCTGAAATTTAGTGAAAACTAAAAATTATGATAGAGCATTTATATAATGGCTCTTTTATGCTGCATTAATATGCTAATCCCATTTGCAAATGTTACTAATTAAATCAAAAAAAAGTTCTTTAAATATTTAGTAAAATTAAAAATTGTGATAGAGCATTTTAAACCTAAACTTTAAGCTCCCCCTCCCACTTTTCAAATCTTAAGCTACTACCTTAATTATCACTATTTTAATTGATTAATTTTTTTTCAGGCACTTCGTGAATGGTTTCGTTTGAAAGAATTTACATTTCCAAATTCATTCGTTCTTCTTCATGTTATTGGAATAGTTCAATACTGTGTCATTAGAAATATTGCTGTATCACAGTCTTATCATGACTATACAATTTTATTATCATTTTCCGCACTCATTCCGTGGTATTTTCTTTTTCCATTGTAAGTTTTTATTCGGAAAAATTTTTTAAATTTCAATTATATCACATGAAATATGATTTATATGAAAGAAGTATGCGATGAAATTTTGGCATTTAGTTCATTTTTTTGAGAATATTTAGTGAAAAAAATAAAAAGTTTTGATTATTTTAATTATTTTGATTTTTCATATAATATGAGGAATTAATCAATTAGTAAAAAATGTAGTAATTTTGAGTTCTAGAAGTAGGAAGTTCTAGAGCAGTAGAAAATTTTTGTTTTATTCTTTTCATTCATTCAATTTGTTAATGTTTGAATTACAGAAGCGAGAAGGAATATATTTCATTAAAATTTCTCTTTTATTTGGACTACTGTCTTGTATTTGCCTCACTATCATTGCTGAATTTCTCACTGGCATATATTATTTCATTTATTGCCGTACCGTTGATAATATTATTCACAGCGATTAATAATTGTAATCGGTAAGTTAATAATTTTTAACAAAATTTGATACTTCATAAATGATAGAAATGAATTTAAAAGTTTTTAATGATAGGAAAAAGAATGAATTCACGTAGATTTTATTGGTAAATCTAGCAAGAGATAAGAAATAAGTAAAGAAAAATTATATTATTATTTTCATTAATTATATTATGAAAATAAAGAAATTTTTAATTGTTGATTATATTATAAAAATTATAAGAAAGTTATGTAATATACATAATTGGGCGCAGTATTCTTTAATTTCAAAAAAGAAAAAAAGAATCTTAGTCCAATCTAATATTCTAAAATTGCTCAGATAATCCAATACTAATATAAATCAGTTTTTTTTTTTTTTTCAAGTTTATTTCTTTCTTCAAAAAAAAGGATTTTTTCTCAACAAAAACAAAAACAAAAATTGTCTTTAACTTTTGTGAAATTTGAATGATACAATAAATTTAAAGAAGAAAATATTTCTTTCAGATTAATTTGTCAATTAAAAGCTTTATTTGGTTTTCTATTACATCCATTTGTTATTTATTTATTGTATCGCTATTTGCTCTACAATATTCTTCCAACAGAAGCACATATAACAGATTTAGCAATGGATCTCATTAAATGCCATCTTTTATATGGCAGTTTTCTTTTTCCATTTATTTACATTTGTTTATTACCTTTATGGAATTTCTCAATTTTAATTTCATCAACACCTATAATTCATTCATAGTTATTCTTCTTTCATTTTCATTTTCTTTTTTCCACTAATTAATAACAATATGATTTGATGATAAAATTTATAACAAATCAATTTCTTAGTAGAATTTTTAAAAATACTATTTATTTTAAGAAATTATTCAATAACGCTTATTTCTTTAGTATATATTGTATAATGATAATAATATAATGATAATAATAAAAACTAAATTTAGCTATGAAAGAATCAAAATTAAATAATGATGTTTTAAAAATTAAAAGAATTTTTTTCATAAACATTTTCAAATTTTAATTTAAAAATTATCACCACCAATAATAATAATTTTAAAGGAACATTTTATTTTTCATTTCTGTATTTTCATATTAGATTGTTTCTCTTGTTTAAAATTAGAATTAAAAAATTGTTTAGATTTAATCGTATTAGAACTGTTTTTTAATTCTTGTTAGTTTTGCTATTTTTTTTATCAGTGAAATGATTATTCAATGATTATTATCAGTGAAATAAGTGTAATCAGTATGAGAGTTTGAAATAAAATTCAACAATGAACTAAATGGTACTCGACCACCGGTGATATCTAATTGTTGAAGAATATTATAAATTTCTTCTCGTGACATTTTCTCACCAACTGATGATAAAATACCAATGAATTCAGGCACCGTAATCCAATTTTGTTTTTTCGAATCAATTCCTCGAAGTGCATCAATAATTTCTTTTATTGGATCACCTTTTTGATTTTCCTGATGTAAAATTTCCAAAAAACATGGAAAGTCTAGTTGTTGTCCTGAAATTTTAGTCATTTAAATTTAGAATGAATGCGTTTATTGTTTGTTAAAAATATTTTCACAATGATTTAATTAAATTTTGAAAGTAAGTAAAAGTGATTTTTAGTTTATGAGCGAAATTATTGATTTAGATAATATTATTATTTAAATTATTACCATATTTACGGAAATATTCTATTGTTTCCGGTGTAGTTGGAGTGTAACCAAGACTACGCATTATATAACGCAAATGTGATGCATTTTGTGCACATCCCTTAGGACAATATAATGTAAAACATTGCCGATATTCTGGAAATAAAATTAAATTTGGAATTTCTTAAATAGATCTGAAGTCACTATTGTATGTTCAACAGAAATTTCTACAGTGATTCTCTGTATTTGGTGTAACACTTATTTGATCATTAAATAATCATTATTTAATATCGGAATATATAATAATCATAACAATATTAGGATCTACCTATTTACTAATAATTAATTTTGCTAGTTGTTTCTCAAAAAAAAAAAACTAATAATAACTTACCTTCGATTTGCTGTTGAGTGAAATAGTGAGCCTAAAATTAGGTTTTGATGAATATTTTTTGCTAATTTCATCCAAAGATCACTAGTTTTTTGATTGAAATACGTATTCGAATAATATTTGATCTTCCAAGTATTGATTTAAGCTATCTTTTGATTTATAGAAGTTATACTTTGCATATAAGACCAATAATTATGATTTGAGATTTTAAAAATTATTCTTACACTTATTCTACAAATCTTTTAATGTTATTTGTTTATAACTTTTGATTTAAAATAAATATGATCACTTGCGAAAATGGTTAGTATAGCATTTCTTAAAATTTCACTAAAACTTGAATATTTATGGAAGAGAGAAAGAAAGATTATTTACCATTGATAAATTTTCATCCAACAAAGCACACCAACAATGTGTCACTTCAATAAGTGTCAACTATTGCTATGGTAGAAATTATGTCCCACTTTCGTCAATAAAAATGATCATTGAAGGAGGAATGGTCGTTGTTGACCTTGTTAAGACAATCAATTGATCATTTATAGAAGACTGAGACAAATTCTTTATTGGTATATTATTGATCGAAATTACAGAATTGTTTTGTCTACAATAATTAAAACAATTGAGATATTGTGATTATAATGCATATCAGTGCATATCTTTTACCAGTGTAATTTAATAAATTTATTGAATAGTACTGAAGATTTGAAATTTATTTTCAAATAATGTTTAATTTCATGTAAAGAATCAATTAAGACGTTTGACATGTTAAAGTTTACATATGTGTTGTATGCATAAAATTTAAGAGATAATTTATTATAAAATTTGATCACAAACGATGTATTGATACATCACTTCGTAAATTATCTGCATCTGTTAGTGTAACCTGAGCCTGAAATTAATATTTTTTAATGCTATCTTAATCAAAATTCATCAATGCTGCAAAGGATTGGTGAAAAAAAAAACTTCTTTGATGTGTCCATTCAAAAAAATTATACGGAATTATTGACATTTAACTTACTTCAGTATCAGGTCGTTCCAATTTTTTGCGCCAATCTTCTTGGCCAAGACGTGTGGTTGATTCCATATAAACTGTAATTATTATTAGCTTAAATAGTATAACAAGTGTTGCATAATATAACTTTGGAATTTAGTTAATTCAAAAAAAAAGGAATCTTTTACAGAAAGCATAAATGGAAAATATACACAAAATACAAAATGAGTAAAATGAATAATCAACTGCTCACAAATAGAGTGCTGTACATAATCTTTTGCCAAATCTTTAGCTCGATCTTGACTAAATAAACTATCTTGAGCAAGATTTCGCCTTTTCTCAACCACTTCCTTCAGCATATCACTTTTTTTCTTCTCTGTTTCGATAATATTACTCATTCTTGCACTGAAATTTCAAATTACTACACAAATTCTTCTCTACATTAAAATTTTCTCATTAGAATTACATTAATTTCTTGCATGATTGAAATATATACACTACTACTATACAATATGTCATAGGAATCTAAGAAAGAAAAAAAGTTTTATCCTACATGCTGAAACTGATGTATAATTTAAATAATTTCAAAATATACCTATTTCATTAAATAAAGCAATTACTATATGAACACAACCAAAAAATCAAAAAGATTACTTAATGCCTAAATCCACTTCTGGAATACCAGCAAGCATTTGATTGGATAGAAGTTCATCATTACGTTCACTTCGAAAAAGACGAACTTTTTCCGCTGCTTTCCACATAAGAGTATCTTCCATACTTGATACTTTGGACTATAATACTTTCATAAATTCATAAAATTAATTTTATCATGGAAAATATTTTGTGTTCCCTCTTTTTCTTCAATGAAAACATTATTAATCTTTTATATGTGAGTTGTTTTTTTTTATTCATTGTTACTTGCAAAAAAAAAAAAAAAAAAATTGATAAATAAAAAGCTACTGTTGTTGCGTCATTATCTTCCAAGTCTTGCACTGCTTTCCGCTTGCGCAATTCCGCTTGCACATATTTTTTCCTGCAACAAGTAGAACAAAAATAGATTTTAAAAAATGGAATAACAGAATGTTACATTTAATATGGAACAAGTGAATAATCTTAAATCATCAATATAAAATGCCATATAAGAAAATAAATACAAATTAAAAATTTAATAAATTTGAGAATGTGTTTTAGTAAAACTATAATGCTTTAAATAAGACTGTGCAAAGTCTAAAAAAAAAAAAAGAAAAAAAAAACAGTTAGTAAATGATGTTAATTGTAAAACAATGCAGTATAACTATATATGTAAAATAAAATTATATACAATTCCAACTAAGAATATGTAATAGATTTTTTTGACGATAATCATTTAATGTAGGAAATTTTGGATAGAATACAGTTGCATTAACATTAATGAATGAATAATTATACTGAACTGCTAGAAAACTCGAGTGATTATTAAATCAATCCTTACTAAAACTATAATACCATAGACAAAACATACATCTCTTCATGTTCATCTCTTAGAAAACTTTCTTTTTTAAATTGATCACGTATACCAGCTTCGATATCTGCTGCATGCCTACAAAATCAAATAAGCATATATGAGAATACCTTAAAATTATTTATCACTTCTTCTAAATGTTGCCAGTAGCTATGAATTTTGCTCATTTTTTTTTTATAATTGTTTTTTTTTTTTTTATAACTGTCATATTATTACGATAAAATTGTGCAAACCTCAGATAGTAAGTATTAATATATGAAAATGATTAGTGATATTTGCAAAATACCATGAAAATACTAATTCTTATCATTTCTTCTAAATGTTTCCAGTAGTTGCGAATTTTGCTCAATTTTTTCTTAACTATTACCATTTTAATAATAAGTTTTTAAAAGCTCGAAGATTTTTATTTTTTTGAAAAAAAAAAAAAACATTGTAAAACGAACATTTGAGCTTGGCGTCCTTCAGATAATCGAAGCATACCACCACCACGTTGTCTAAATGGATCATCATCCATTGCAATAAATTCCGCTGCAAGCTCTTTACCTAAAGCGCATTCTACTGCATTCAATCCATTTTTACGTATACGACTTTCTTGTAGTTCCTTCACACCTTCTAATTTACATCTAAATTTTATTTTAATCATAAAATAAATTACTTAATGTTTCTAAAAAAAATTGAAAAAATAATACATTATTCATTCATTATTTATTCTTCTCAAAATACAGCTTATAATAATAATTTTCAAACTTTCTACCAAGTATTACTCTCAACTAATTAATACTTTGGTACTAATATTAATGATATTTTTATTATTGACTAAAGACATGAAAGGAAAGACTAAAATATATTATGAGATAACCAGGAAACTTTTATAAAAGCAATTTAGAAATGAAATGAGTATTTTACGCAATTTCAGCTTCTTCCTCCGTTGTACTATCATCGTTATCGATTATACGTTCACGTAAATGACGTTGTCTTTTCTTGGTTGGTTTTTTAAACAAAGACATTCCAAATAATTCACGTTTCTTTCTTTTTTTCTAAAAAAAAAGCAAATTGAAATGAAATTTTTTCGGCTAAAAAAAAAAAATTAATATACTTATCAATACAATTCATAATTATTTAGATTGAATACAATTTTTGAAAAAAAAAAAAACATAGTATGCAATATAATTTAAATATAATAAAAATGAAACAGCAATCAGATATTTTATCCGATTAATACAAAGCTATAATATTTCATACAAATACATTGTATGTTAATATAATGTATTATTGAAATGAATAATCAATAATCGATGTTACAAATTACAATTTATAAATCTCGAATTAATTAATATCTACTTTAGTCGGGCAACATTTATAGCTATGTCTAACGGATCACTCCACATTTTATAAATTAATTTCTGCTGTTTAATTTCCTAATAAATAATAATAAATCAGTTCTTAGGTGAACATTCAGTGCATTCCAGAGAGTTTTTTGAAAAATAAAATAGAATAAAAATGAGGAATCTATTATATATTCATCTTTAGTATATTTTCCACTGTATTTGAGAGAATTTTGTAAAATAAAATAAAATTATAAGAATGAAAAGAAAACAAAAGGAAAAAGAAAATAGAAAAAATGAATGAACTTTGTTGAATTTTAGCAATTTGTCTCTTTCTTTCCTTTAAAGCCATTTGAGAAAGAGCTAAGTTGCGATTTTCTTGTAATCATTCTAATCTGATTGGATTTAATTTCGATTTAGTTAATAGTAATTGTATGTTTTTTTATTAATTTATTTGCTCTAACGTAAAATTGATACGTGTGTACTAATTAAGTACTATTGACGTACGTCATTTGTTAGATTGTACTATACATAATTCTTTACATGTATCTTTGTGTATTTTACTTATACCTATTTAATCGTAGAATTTTTCACAGTTCAATTATTAATGAATTTTATTTTCTCATAATGGTTATTTTAAATAGAATTGTTAGCATCATTTTTATGCTTTTTTTTTTGCTAATAATTCTTAATTTGTTTTGTTATTGAGGAAAAAATGGCTTCATCATTGCTAGATCGAGATTTCTCACCACCAAGCTCATTTAAAGATGGAGGAGCAGGTGATCGATGGCGTATGAAAGGTGAAAATTCGGGTAGCGAACGTTGGAGATTAACTAATGATACTGAAAGTAGCGTTACTGGTAGTGGTAGTGTTGGTGGTGGCGGTGGTGGTGGTGGTAATATCGGTAGTGAACGTTGGTCAAGACGTGAAATTGGTGCAGATCGAACAATGAGTATTCAACGTCATGGTAACAGTCGTGAACGTAGTCCACGAAGACTTCGTGATAGAGGTTAGTTTATGAATTTTGATGTAGAATTTTGAATTGAATTTATACAAATTTTTCATTTAATTTTATTATTTGCATGCTATTGCTTCTTTCTTCTTTTCTTTTTTCTCCTCAGATTTGATTGCGAATATGCTATTTCATTAATGGAAAATCTGTGATTTCAAATATTAAAAAGCATTTCGAAAATTTCCTTCTCTCGAGATTTTCACAATGTTGCTATATCGTTAAGTAGCGATCATCATAAGTGTATGCCATATGAGTTATATGCATGTCACGACTAGTTGTTTCATATTCGGATCGTCATCTTATCCTTTATATGATCATAGCGGCATAGATATAACATGGTTTCCATTATTTCACATTTGTCACACCCCGTTTTTCAGTCGGCAATACCTTTTTTTTAAAGAACAAATTTTGAGTCTTATTTGATTGTTTAGAAAATCATCAACTTTGGTTGATTTTCTTTGTTTTTTTTTCTTTTTGTTTTCTGGAATAGATCTTTGCGATCAATTGTTGTGAATACGATGATGTAGCTTCTTGATTCTGAAATTCTTTTTTTGTGTTCATTAGTCATATTGATTGCTTCGTCAAATTTGTGGATAGGTTGCTTTTTCATCCATTGAAATCTTAGACTACATTTTTCATTTCATACTAACTGTTTCACTCATATATCTGTGAGACAGTTGTGTTGGACATCTTCTGCATAAATTTAGATGGTCGTCGAAGCGGCGCCGGTGGCGTGCGTAATGACCGAATGGTTTACATTGCAAATATTCCGTACGACGTACGTTGGATGGAACTAAAAGATTTGGTTCGAGAAAAAGCTGGTGAGGTATGGTCTGTTTTCTAGCTTGACTTTGACTTTTCTAGATTTTCACATTATTTGCGGCTTTATCCAGCGAGATATTATTCTGATTATGATTATCAATGCATAAATATGGCTGGTGACATCGATGATTAAAAAAAAAAATAGCAAAGTTGCATTCAAAGACTGCTGCTGTCGATGTTTTCTAGTTTTTGTACCTAGTGCAGTCATATGCAATTTTTCGGAACGTTGTAAGAGTGAAATTTTGAGAAGCTTTCTTGGGTTTTTGATTAGTTCCGAATTTACTTGAATATCCGTTTTCCTGATTTTGTTGGAAGATATCATCTGGTTAGATTTGTGCTTTTTCTTGTACTAATCTATCGTGAAATATCGAGCGGATCAACTGAATATCTCCTGTTAAATACCAGGATAGTTTTAATTATTCAGTGTAGCACATTTCACTCGTTGATGATATAACCGTGCTAAGCGTGATAACAGATACATGGTACCAATCCCTCAAGACATTCGTGAATCAGCCATCAATGCAAATTTAATTCACATATAGAGATAGATTGTTGATGATTCTGGTGAATGAGTCAACACAATCCAATATGTCTTTTCGTCTTGTTTCAATCTTTCTAAAGGAAAAGAAAAGTGTCGCTCATTATTATAATATTATTATTCATTGGATTTATCAAACATTCTCAGAGTGCTAAATTATATTTGATAAAATAGTTACAGGTAAGATAAATCAAGACAATACAAGTGAAAGGAAAAAAAAAACTAGCATTTGTGAAGTAGTAACAAATGCTACTTTGCTCATTTAGGTTAATTTTGTCGAGCTCCTAGAAGACCGTAAAGGGAAATCGAAAGGTGCAGCAGTTGTTGAGTTTCGAGAAAAAGAATCAGTTCAGCGTTGTGTTGATGCATTACATCGTTATCCGATGAATGATCGTTTGCTTACAGCAAAGGAAATTCGAGTAAATAATTTATGATTCATATGCACTTCTTAATTCATCTGATTATTTCTCATCTTTCTCCAAAAATTTTAGTTTTGTTAGTCGATAATGCTCATCAAATCATCTGTAAGTTATAGTCTTGGCTGTTAATTTATAAGGATAGTATGTTTATATTTTCTTTTTAAATCTTTTTTTGATCTGCTTTTTATTTCTAATCTTTCCTGGAAATATATTACGATATAGGATTTGTGAATATCATAGTTGGTAATTCATTGGACTATTTCATCTTTTTAATTTGATTAGTAATCAATCATTTAATCAAACTTTAAGCTACTATTATTGATCCATTTTTTCCGTTTGTTCACTATTGTGTTCTATCCTTGAGTGATGCCAAAAAATTGGATAATAATTAATAATTGTCTTGCATTTATTCACTCTATATTGTTCAGCAGATTGTTGACTCCAAGTTACTCGTTTTTGAAATGGAAATATGTTCAGGATCCTGTTGCGTTTTTCCGAAAAGTTAAGGAAGACACAGGTGTTGATTTTTTGAACGGTCTTCATGGTGGAACTGCTACAGCGAGTTTGGATACTCGTAATCGTCAAGAGGAGCAATTTGAAACGTATGGTCTTAGTCCGGCATTTCTGCGACAACTTCATATTACAGGACCATTGACCAATCGTGTTTTTGTGTCGAATGTTAGTTTCATTTGAAACGCTTCCCCTCATACATAATTCGGCGGCATATACTTTGAATCTCATCTTTCATCGTATGGTTCAAATTTTCGATGTCATGTGTAACTTTATTTTATATTTTTAGTATTTTCAAAGAAATATTCAAATTTAGCTTCCGTACAACGTACAAAGTGGACGAGTGACAGATTATTTCTCATTGGCTGGTAAAGTTACTTGGGTTGATCTTCAATTAGATAAAGAAGGTCGCAGTAAGGGTATGGCTGTTGTACAGTTCACTCATCCAATTGAAGCAGTACAAGCTATTTCAATGTTGAACAATCAGCGTGTTTTTGATCGTCAAATTAATGTCAAAATGGATAAATTTGACCCAATTGATGATCGAAAAGAAGGAGAATTACCTGTTGGTTTACGTGGAGTTGGCATGGGTTTAGGTGCAAATGGTGCACCATTAGGTGATGTTTCTTCAATAATTTCGTCGCTTACCTCCTCAACAACATCTCATAATTCCTATGATAGCACATCAGCACCATATACCACTCAATCTGCTTATCAAGGTGGTCCTGTATCAAACCTTCAGCCTAGTAGCATTTCTTCGGTTATGCCATTTTCATCCACTTATACATCATCATCATCAGCATCTTTGTCAGCTCCCACTTCTGGTTATTCTACATTTGGTGGTGTCGGTGGTTTTAGCTCGCGTTCAATTATCATTAAAAATGTGAGTTCTGTCTTTTGCTAGATTTCAGCAAAGAAATTGATAGGTTTTGCTGAACTATTACTGATAAAACATTATATTGATATGATTCTTCTGATTTATTGCATTATAATTGAAGTATATCAGAAATAATACTATTATTATCAGTAATTTAGTAACATCATAAATTACTGCTTTTAGCTTCCCTTGGATTATACATGGCAAATTGTGCGTGATCGTGTTCAACAATTTGGTCCAGTAGATTTGACGGAAATGATTGCACCAGGTTGTGCTAAAGTTACATTTACTGTAGCCTCAGATGCGGAACGTGCTCGTAAATCTCTTCAAAATACCACGGTTGAAGGACGTGTTATTGGAGTGGAATTTTTGGCGTGAAGAAAGTGAAATGATTACTTTTATTGAATCAGTAATCTCATTTACAATATTGTATTTCGTCCGACCCATTTTCTTCATTTTTTCTTTTGTGCAAGTTTAGTCATTTGAATTCTGAAATTTGCGTATAGTCGTTTTACTAATGTGATGAAATATTTTTGAAAATATAGAAATTTTTCATTAAATAGATAAAATGTTGCTGTACAAGTCATTTTTATAAAGATTTGATGATACTAAATGTTTGTTTTATGTTTTCGCTTTTGTTATGTCTTACTATTTAATGAATTTTATCTGTGAACGAATATTTTAAGTTTTTTTTTTTTTTTTTTTCTTATCATATTTATTGACGATCAATTGATAATTTTTTAAGCAATTTGTCAGTTTATCATGTAATCGTTGATTTTCCTTCTTAAAATGATATTGTCCACAGTTTTACATTTCATTTCTACACGTGAATCATGTTTTGAAATAAATTTCTAATAAGGATATTTGTGTCTGTTCTTGAGGAGACCTTGGAATTTTATTATTAAAATATGTTAATTTTCGACTATCTATCATTGATATCATTTATAATTATCCAATTTCTTCAATCATATTGTGAAATAAATTTTTATTTCTGTTAAATTAATAAATTTTGTAAAATTTTTCTATTAATTTTACATCCACATCCAAAAATTTCACATCCAAAAATGAAAAGAGATGCCGAAGGATGAATTTAGAAAACACTGAGATGACAAGCTAATTGAATAATATTTTCTCAGTGAGCTATTTGTATAGCGATATTTGTTTTTTGTATTTACATACATCATTGATAGGATGA